GCAAGCGAAGCCGCGGGTTCTGTTATTAATATGTATATATTTTTAATTTTCATGTCCAAAATCCACATTGTTTCTAAGTTTACCTTCCGTTAAAATGAACAGTTATAACTCGTGTTGAAAGTTATAAAATTTGTAGTAAGACCAGGTATTTTCAGAATAATTTCTTTTGTTTTAATGTTTTTGTTCAATAATTTAGTTAGCATATACTCATGAGTTCATTGCGCGTTGAAGGCTAAGTCACGCGACACTGCCGCAGACCATTTTCACTAACGTTTTTGACGTACTTAGTTTTTATTTTGCAAATACATTAAATATATTACATACCGCTTATTATATATTATATCAAAATACCGCTAATCATATACCTATACTGTACTGTTCACGAGTTCGATGTTTGTTTGAGGCAAATATTACAGACTAAAAAATTTATAGTTTTCTACAAGTTGATACACAATTATATTCCTAAGTTAAACTATTTTTAAGTTTTATTGTTTTTTGATTTCTAATTTACAAATTGACAATAAAAATAAATAAACATTGTTGTATTTTTTGCAATAAGTATAAATAATGCATATATCTTTCTCATAAACTCAGAAAGTTATTACAACGTTCGCATAAAGTAAGAAAATTATAATAATTGAATTAAAACATAATATCGCGTGCAACTATAAAATCAATACGTTGAAATATGCTTCAGTGTAATATTGGAGGAAATCGATATTAAATACCTTCGTTTAAAGAAAAATGTTTCTTTTTTCAAGTCAAAACTTCTATAGGCAGGTTTGGATGGGGAGTAAATTCAAGTCGTCATCGACATCGTCACGTGACGTGTTAACTCTAACACTCAGATTTGACTCTGAGAGTTGATTTTATGATTTGACTTTGATAGTTACAGTGTACATCTATTTATTTATTAATTACCTACATTGCCCGACAGACATTTTTCTTTCAGTTTTGTTTATGATCCTTAAAAAAAATCGATCTCGACTACAGCGCCACCTACTGGGTTAAACCATTCACATAACGGAAGTACGGAAATAAAAATCATCAAATGAATATTTAAAAATTGCCAACATTAGTCTAGCCATTTTGGAACACATCTACATCTAAATTTTATATAGATAACCCTCCGTTTAGAACTACTAATGTGCGCAGAAAGCTCATGCCGTATCTTAAAAAAATCTTTGGATCTTTTCGATTTACTTAAATGTTTTTTTTTAATTCAGACCATTATTCGTACAACAAAATAACTGTCATTGAAATTCGTCCATTCAATTTCTTATGATGCGCAATGAAACAACAGATGAACAAAAACTTTAATCACCCTCAAAAACAATGACTTTTTAATCTCATGACAATTTAATATCAACACTTACAAGGAAAAATATTGTAACTCTTGGCATAATTTAAATAAAATCGGGTGTTCAAGTTTTAAATTGTATTATAAAAATAAAAAGCAACTTTTTTTACTTCTCTTCACTTTTCGACCGATAAATGGTAATTTAAATAGGCCAATAATGAAACCATATCGACGATATTAGATGCACGCTTATAAGAATCCTTACTAATATTATAAATATAAAAGAGTGATACTTGGCTAGTTTGTGTGAACTTTGTAATTAAAACCGTCTAATTTTGATGTAACTTGGCAAGTATATAGTCAATGGTTTAAAGAAGTTTATCCACATTTTCATTTTAGTATAGAATAGGTTCCAGTGAGATGTTAATATAGTGTTATTGCAATGCTGGAATTAGATTGTTAATATATACCCTTTTTATCCCAAACGTTTCCCAAACTACTTAAAAACATAAAGTTCACGAGAAAGATATTGTTTCAAAACACATGTCCTGACATATTTATATTTTTCCACATTAAATGGACTTGTTTGTTTCATATTGTTTATTAATTTTCCTTAAGAAATAGCAAATTAGTCATTAATATACAGGTATTTTACCTAAATGTTGGTTCCTATCACTAGACGTATGTATCGTCCAGTAGTAAAGTCGGATAAAACCGCTAATAACGTCATAAATTCAAGACTAAAGACGTACGAGTATATAGATGAAGTCCGCTAAAAAAATGTCAAAGTTAAAATTAGTAGCGTGATTTGCTGTTTATGCTACTACTATTTGATTTTATTTTGATAGGTTATGATCCGATACTGGGGCCATTTTTTTATCAAGATCTGATGGTAGCCATCGACCTTTAGAAAGGAACTCTGGAAGGACTAATAATTAATGCGTAACCATTTTATAGGACACCACCTTGGCCTTTTTTTAATGTTGGGAAATACGCATTTACGAATACCACCTGCATACATACTGGTGTTTATGTGGGACTCACCGGCAAGAAAAACCACTACTACCCACTGAAGTCCAACGAAACCTTCTCTGTTTTAATGGGGCGTCGTAGGATTGCTCACGCACTCATCACGACGCCCCGACGGCAGGTCTGCCGAAGCAAATCACACAACCAAGTTGTTGCTCTCATGGTCTACTCTACTATCAGAAAAGTACCAGGAGCAACCCGCACAGCACATCGCCCACCAAGGTGGGCTGCCTCCCAGTACGTTTCTTGGCTTCACTACAACGTGAACGCACATTTAGGGGACACCACCTTGACATTCCTGAACTCGTTTTATTAAGAAATCTTGCGTACAGACATGACTGTTGACTGATTATATTATTAAGAAATAAATATGATAAATTATACATACATATTAATATCTATGTTGTATTCATAATAATTGTGATAAATGGCATAGATATCAATATCTGTTACTATTATTATCAAATATTTGCTTCTGTACGGATATAATTCTTGAGAAATACCTCTGAGCGATGACGTACTTTTGAACATATGGTAGTTCGTTGCCATATAAAGTTTTCGTCGATGTCTTTCATTTTAAATTATTGTTAAATTGGGAACTTAGTTTGTTCCTTGTTGTGCAAATATAAAATCGACATAAAGTATTGAACAAGAGGACAGTCCTTTTCGTGAATAGTATATGGGAACATCGAAGGAATACTAAAAAGTATTTAAATACTAAAAAGTCAAACAACGTAAACTATACCTTATGACTATGTTCATACGGCACAGTTTACATTTATCAACTTTGCTCTATTCCTTCCGGAATTGAGTACGTGAAAACAGCGACCCTACAACATCTTAACATCGCAATGATGGGGTTTCTGCTGGTTTGTAGAACACATTTTACAGGTATCTGCTCAATGTTAAGTTTCTCTTGCGTTCTTCTCAGCAGAACTGGTTTCCAAGCCTGATACTTCAAAAATATCTCATTAGGTATCTATTCTAAATGATAACCCCCGTTTAGTTATTTTTTACATTTTAGTGCCTGGAAATCGTTTTTTATAAGCATTCAGGTATATTTCTATTCAAGTGACATATAAATTAAAAAAACATTTTGGATACGTCTAAAAAATCTTTTAATTTTTGTTTTGTTTGGGTACGTTTCATATAAATATTCATATGTACTACTATTTTGAACAAATATAATTTTAAATAATTAAATAATTATTTATTTATAGCAAATATTTAAAGACGAAGACACGGTAATGTAATACAGTGACATTGCATATACGTAGTAATATTTCGTACTAGCATTGCCCGCAGCTCCGCCCGCGTTCAGATGACCAAAAACCAAATTCTTAGGTTTTACATATTAGTATACTCTTACAATGCAGTTTTTGTATTTTTTCTCAGAAATAAGATATTTTCCCCGCGGTAAAAAGTATCCGGATAACCAGCTATCATCATAAAAAATTTCATCAAAATCTGTTCAGTGGTTTTCTCGTGATGCGGTAACAGACAGACAGACAGACAAAAATTCGAAAAACTATAGATTCGGACTCTGTATCGATAATAATGTCTATTTCAATGAGATTTTCCAAAAAATATTTAATGTACAGATTCGACTTAGTTACAATTTTATTATATGTATAGATGAATTTAGTAATTAATCTTAGTTAATAAAAATGCAGAATGAGAAAAATACCAAATGTCTTGTGTTGAAAGTGAAAGGTAAAAAGAAAATCTTAACAACAGCAGAAGATAATAATATATCATTGTGTCAGAATGTATAAGAGAAACCTATTTTTCTATTCTACTTTTCTAAATAGTGTAGTATGTGTAGCCTGTCGTATTAAAATGTATAAGCGAAAAGCTTCACAAGGTTTTGATGCAATTTATCAAAAAAAATTAAAATAAATAAAAACCGACTTCCAGGCATTAAAATTTAAAAAATAATTAAACGGGGGTTTTCATTTAGAATAGATACCTAATCATATATTTTCTAAGTCGGTGAAAAAAATAATAACCTGGCGAATTGAGAACCTCCTCCTTTTGGGAAGTCGGTTAACTACTTCTACACAACAATTCGAAATTGAACCAAATAATATTTCTTTAATACTGTTCAAAGGTGATTCAAATGTGTTCGTTTGAATAAAGTATATTTGAATGACGGCCCAGTAAAATCCCATGACGGGTTTCTTTAGTATTTACGCGGATATTTGACATTTAAAATTAAATTATTCTTACGATTTTTTTTTCGCGATCTGGTTTGGTCTTGGGAAAGACAAAGATTTATGAAGTCTCAAACGTTATTATATACATAATTATTACAGACGGTAATCGGTATCTAACCACGATTTTTTTCATTAATTTGGAAGGAAAAGAGAAATAGCACCGGAGTACGTTAAAATATGTAATTCTAATTAGGATTTCTATAGTCATAAAATTTGTTGAAAATATTTAATTTGTGTGGAATAATAAAAAAATTAGGTTAGTAGGGCCGTTTTTGCCTAATGGAATCGTAAAATATTTGGACCAAATTTAGTAGAGGCCAACAGGAGCAAGACGGCGGTGTTCAAAATATGAATTTGCCCACATTTTAAATCCGTTCGAGATTTAAAGGAAAAGCCGTGTCAATAATCATAGTCTTACCTTGAGTCCAGAGCTAGTCTGTAGTTACTTCATATCAGGCTTTATGCGCAGTAGAGATGTGGCGGGCGAGTAGATATCGTTTTTCGAATCTACGATAAAAACATACAATCACGTAAGACTAATTTTCGCTCGCAGATTTGCTCGCGTTTCAAGTAAGTTATTAAGTAAATAAGCAATCTCTATTTTGGAATTTACTCAAATGTATTTAGCCATAGCCCATAACATATGTACATACAAACTTTCGCATTTATATTTTATATTTTTAACATAGTATAAAATCCTCAAAATATAATTAAAGTTTCCAGATTTTTTATTATATAAAAAATATGCTTCAAGGAAATCCATAGTTATATTATAAATGTGAAATTTTGTGAGGATGGATGGACGTTTGTTACTCTTTCACGCCAGAACGGCTAAACGGATCTCGATGAAGTTTGGTACAGAAATAGATTATAGTCTGGAATAGCACATGGGTTAATTTTAATCCCAGAAAAATGTATGGTTCCCTTGGGATAGATTTGTTTTTGTCTAGGAAAGAACCCGAAGCAAAATGAGGGTGTGTTGCTAGTTATATGTAATATTGTAGCATATTTATTAATATTATTAATTAATTAATAATACCTTTCTCCGCATTTTCCACATTTTAGTTCCTTATTATGAACAAACTTAATGTGTAAATTGAGTGAACACTTTCTCACAAAAGTTTTGCCGCAAGTGTCACACTTGTGCGGACGAGAGTCAGTATGTGTTCGCAGGTGGACTGACATACTGAGAACAAAAAAATACTTATAATCATTATAATTCTAATAATATTAATAATTTTTTTGGCAGTTAAACTGAGGTTATTAGTAATTTTGGACAAAACAGTGTTGCCACATTTTTATAGTTAGTATAGGGGCAAACAAGCAAATGATTCATCTGATGGTAAGTGGCTATCATCTTATAGACATCTGCAACATAAGAGGAGTTTCGAATGAATTGCTGGCCTTTAAGGGCCTGATGACACAACTCTTGAACAGCCCCATTTTAAAGCTCTCTGGGAAAACCTCAGGAGTAAGATCATTCTACAATTTGCATGCGAGGTAGAAATGAACAAGATGCATATACATACACAATTGCTTTTTCTTATGGATTCAAATAAAAAAAAATCAAATTAAAAAACTATATTTATTCCTTTAACAATCTCTTTCATTAGCAAAATTATTTGATGAATTGTTTTTTATATAATTCCATTTTTAATCTTATTATCTAGTTAGATCCTAACAAACCAGCTTGACTTAATCAATACATATATATCAGTCATGCATTTAATAGAATATCTGTTAGGAACCCATCTTTTCATTTCAGAGATTCAGAAAGATTTAACAAATGGACAGATAGATACACCATCTGAGTCTTAAAACAACCAAAACTTACTTTGTTCTTCCACTTAATTTTTTAGAGCACACAGGACATTCAATTACTTTCATATCATGCACCATCTTGTGTCGCATCAGCAAATATTCTGCAGTAAAACCTTTTCCACAAACTTCACATATATATTTTTGTTCAGCACAATGAACTTTACGTATATGATCTTTTAAAAGAGCCCTTGACGCAAACTGTTTATTACAATTTGTCTGAAAAGACATGTAAATGAAATGTTAAGTGAGAAATTCCATGTTTTTATTTTAGTTTAATGTGCATGTCTCAATACTAATAAAACACTAACTTACCTCTTGACAAACTGGTTGAGCTGTATCTTCCAATGGAATATGATATTTATTTGTATTTTCTGAAGTTCTTTCTTCAGTTATATCATCATCAAAGAACTTAAATTCATTCTCTAGATAGTCAATATCTGTAATGAAATCATTATTTAAAAAAAATCAAATATATTAATTATTTTACTTAGTTTTTATAGTCTTACCTTCGTTTATTGATTCCAGAGGATCAGCAAACACATTAATATTTAAATTGTAAAATTTTTCTTCATTGTATATTTCCAATCCACTAAAAGGCTAAAATTTGAAATAAAATGAATATACTTTTAGTAATTAGTACAGTAACTAAACGAGTAGCAGAATATGCAGAATTATTTATAACAGAAAATATTAAATATACCATGACAGAATAAACTAGTAAAAAATAAAGTATTGTAAAAATTATAAGGACAGATAAAAGGAAAAAATAATATATAAAAATTACAATATAAATACTTACGTCTTCTTCATTTTCTTCGGGAACTTCTAAACTTGTAGAACACATAACTTTATCCGACACAGTAGTCATGTTTTTCAATTTATTACAACAATTGGGAAATAACTCAATGAATTAGATTAACATTTTAAATAATTAAAAATGAGCCTAAATTCTCTATTCAGTATTTCATAGATTTCTATTACCACTCCTCATGAAAGTTATTGACATTTTTTATATCAAACGAAACTGCCATGCTATTTGACAATTTGACTGTTCTTGCCTTGCCTCTTGGCATTTGGGAATCGACTTTTCTACTCACTCGGTGTTGCTCACATTCAAATCATTTGAAAGTTGAAACTGAATCGACATAATAATAAATATTTAAAAAATATTGGCATTTTTAACACAATAAATGTGCTGTTCCTGATGTAACAAAATTCTTAAAAAAAGAGACTTTATAGGACGTTTTATACGACCTTTCCATAATTATTTTCTGGTACATAATGGGGAAGATTTCTGAAAATGAGGGCGCTACACGTGTAATCTATTTACATTCAGGCTGACGTTAAGCAATTTATTATAATATCTCTTTTGTACTTCGTTTTCTGCTTTTATTGTGTTTGCACCTTACCTGTTCAATGTATTGTACCTGGAAGTTAGACCAGCTCAAGGAAGAATTGAGAAGGATAGGTGCACCTGTGGTGGTCCTAACTAACTGATGGATTAACACACAGCCTAAATCGCTGCCCGTACGTAAATTTAGAGGATGTATTCCATACATGATGTAGGCACCCGGCAAGAAAGGATTTTTCGAAATCCATCCCCTAAGTGAGTAAAATAGGGGATTAAAGACTGTATGATACTCTGTCATTCTTAATGTGAAATACACAAAAAGCGGTGTTTAGCTTTAGGATGAAAAATAAGAAATATATTTATTAGATTTTTTTGAAATTTATTCCTTAAAGGGGTAAAAGTGGGTCATTAAAGTTTATATGGGCAAAGAATTATTTATGATCAGAATTATTTGAAACTTGGTATTAATCTTAGAGTATGTATACTCTAAGGTATTCATGCTTTTCAATACAATTAAATAAATATGTCTATTAGCATTTTTCGAAATTCAATATCAAAAGGGGGTAAAATGGGGAATAAAGTTTGTATTAAACTCTGTAATTAATATGTAACAAAGTACATATAAAACTGAAAAAAAAACAGCAGTATTAGTTAGTAGTTTTAGAATCATTTTCTTTAAAATGATTTCCACATAGCCTTAAATTTAGATTGTGATTTTACCAATTTTGGTCGTCATATTGCTTTAGCCCACAATTTCTTCAGTTTATATCTTTTAGGAACAAATGATATCAAGATTCATAGATTTTTTTTTACATCCTGGCACTGCAAAATTTGTTATTTTAATTAAAAATTAAAAAAAAATGGAAAAAAAAACTCATCCACGCTAGAAATTTACAACATTCTGAGGATCATAGTGATTACGACATCTCGCGCTAGAATAAACCAAGCTCCATTTAATATCATTTATTATATATCAATTTTCTTGATTATCTGTGATGTCAATTTTCTTTCGCAGGCCGCACTAAACGTGTTTTTGTGAATTTTATTTTGTTTGTTCTGCTAGTGCTACTGAGTACTATTAGCTTAAATAATAACACCGTTCAATTAGCTACGTCTATTAAAATTGCTTTTTTACAATAAATTTTTACGTTAGATAATTAAGATGGTGGTTGTTTCTTCAACATTTTCGGTACCGGCGGAAGGTGTGTTATTTCAAACACCCTCAACAAAATTACTAATAAATGACCAGGAATTGGGTACAGCCACACTTTATATCACAGAAAAGTAAGTATTACCTCCGATTGTTAAATATATCTTTATTTTATTTTAAAGTTATTATTGAATTTTATTATTATTTTGCAGTAATGTAATTTGGGGCGGAGGCGTAAGTGCATCTGGAGGTTCATCACCTACAATATCGCTTTTGTATCCTAGTATTTCGCTTCATGCTATACAGAGAGAACCTTCGCCAGCTTTGTATATGGTTCTGAACTATGAACTAAGGTAAGAAAGAATACGATATCTTTACGAATCCTATCAAAATTTTTAGAAATGTTGTATTTTTAGAATTTTTTTGTAAATAATTAATTACTTAAAGTTCATAATGTCATAATAATCTTAGAAGAATAGATTTACATCTTTAAAAATGTATAACATATAATTTGTGATTTCAATGTTCATTTGTAATGTATATATTTATTAGGTTACCAGAGTTAAACCAACCACAGGGACAGATTGATGATGACGATGATGATTTTGATGCTGATGATCACCCCATCACACAGCTCAGGTTTGTATATTAACTTCATATTATGTTGAGGTAGCAATATGGCTTCACTTGAATATTATATGACTTATGATCAGAAATATGTAAAAAATATGCCATATAGTGACTAACATCAATCATTCGTAATTCTTATCACTTTGCTAAATGCAAATAACCATAACCTGTCACAATATGTATAAATGTTATATAATAAAGAGTGCATGTGTTTTATTTGATCATGGTTTTTGATTCATTAAATTTTTATTCTAATATACAAATAATAAAGTTAGAATTCATGTTTTGAGTTGACCTTAGCTAAGAGGCAAAATTGAATCCTTATGTCAGTCATGTGTCTGTCTGTCTGTTATCAATAAATGGAGTTTTGTAGATTGGTAAATATTATATTTTAATTTTGATTTTTGACTTATTTGATCCTACAAACTGTGCTTGAATTAGACTCACATTTTGCACTAATTGATGTATGTGTCTATAAATTATTTCCTTTTTTTACACAATCTGTTCATCTGTGTACATAGGTTCATCCCCCAAAATGAATCAGATCTTAACCCAATGTATTCTGCAATGAGTCAAGGCCAAGCTTTGCACCCGGATCCCGCTGATGAAGTAGATGAGGAAGATTACATGGATGGTCAAGACTGCTTCACTGAGTGTAAGTTATAATTATAATAAAGCCTTTATTTCCAAACTCTTACATTTTATGACTTAAACATTTCTTAACAATATTTTCAATGAATGTCTCTTCGTCTCCTCCACTGCTTTCGATCTGCTGCCACTCATAACCAAAGGAGACCTAAGATCATTTGCAATTCGTTCTCCCATTTTCAAACTATGCAAACTGTGCTCCTAAAGCCATCCCTTGGGTACCGAGCTCTCACCTGTTTACTCCATTTTTCATAATTCTCCATCTCTTTATGTTGGTTGATACATCTTATGGTGTGTTTTAGTTTTGTCTTGCGCCTGATTTCGGTACTCCTGAATTGGTCCTTAAGTTTTAACTAGCGTGCTCCTCTCCATGGATTTCTGACATTTAGCAACATTATCCCTATGATTTTTGTATAATTGCAGGTTTCACAACCTTAAGTGATGCAGGCATTAAGATCAAGAAAAATACTTTTGATACCTGTTATCTTCCCTGCATCACATATGGTTGTGCGTGTTAGTTATACTAAACATTAATAAATACACATAAGATGACAGAATTTTAATGATGAAGAACTGAAGCTAATTAATCAATCAGTAATAGCATCAATACATTTTTATTTCCAAACAAAATGCTGGACTGATTCATCATGATTCATGAAGTTCATAATAATAATTCATTTCAGTTCATAACAAATAGTAGGGGAGCCCAAGAGGGGATTTTCTGTAGTTTCTCGAGCGCGGCAGATTAATATACAGGGGATACCTTGTACCCGGTTAAGTACCTCCACAAAACATGAGGCCCATATATAAGGCCGCCCGTGAAGGATACAGGATCAGATTAGTAAAAAAAAATTGACCACCAGAAATTCTCGAGCGCGTCAGATTAAGGTAGGGTGAGTTAATTACATCCTAAAAAGTGTATATTCCACTAATCTGACAATTTGAGAGTGACGTAAAAAAAGGGGAGGGCAACAAAGTTGTAAAAAAAAACGTCATCTCGACATTCTCGAGCGTAGCTAAATTTTTTTTTATTTTGAAGGAAATAATGCAAGAATAATGAAAAATATATAATCTGACGATTTCCGCAAGCCGAAATAACAAAAATTCGTCGATAAAGTTAAATGCGTGCAGCTGCGTGATGCTTACATTTCCTTCTCCGCGTGTCTATTCCTCTCTCACTCTTTCTCTATCTATTACTCTCTCACTCCATCCCCACTCTGGTTTCTGCCGCCATGACGCCATCACAGCTGATCATAAAGACTCGTTCGTGGCATACTGTTTACAACGTATTTCCAACGTTTTGGCTTTTTTTTGCTATTTTAATATTATTTGTGTGAATTAAAGTTTATAAATATTTAATATGAGTGACATTAATTTGAAATGTGTATTTTGTGGTGAAAGTACCTTACAAAAAACAATTAAATTTACGGTAGAACCCCCGTGACTACCCCGTGTATGATGTTGTCACTAAGTCTGAAAATTGCTTGATCTATTCAAAAGTTATTGCGGTTTGAAAATTCCAAAAATAGTGTTCTATGAAACTTCTACCAGACTTTTGAGCTGGGAGAGCTCAAATGCATAGAAATATTATTTCTTTGAACTCAGCGAGCTCAAAATATCACATAAATTATATTTTGAGCTCAAAAATGTCATAAGTACAATTTTAAGCGTCCAGGAATGGAATTAGCGGGAAGTTGCAGGTATGGCCTTTAAGGTGAACCGTTTTTCTAATTTTTTTTTGTCAGATCAGGCGAATCCCTCTAGATAATCGTCAGATTATGAGACAGTACGTTTAGAACATAAAGATGAACCATATATATCTTAATCTGACGCGCTTGAGTATTTCAAAATGGCGATTTTTTTTTGCACATTATGAAAATGGCCGCGAGTTTGCGTCCCATCGAAATCGTCAGATTAGTGAATGAGAGCTTTTTTTTGGTGCACTTAACACTCCCTTAGAAAATCTGACGCGCTCGATTAAATTTTTTTTTTTTTCATTTTCAACCCTTAAATACAACCACCCGCATCATGCAAACGATCAGATTAACATACGTACATTATTAAAAATACGTAGGGCATTGATGCTATCAATATCTGACGCGCTCGAGGATGTCTATGCAACAGTTTTTTTTTTACATATTTAAAAATCTATAGCCGCTTCCCCCACCGATGTAAAGGTATATATCATATAACATTTTTTTCTTCTTATCATCTAAGCTTTGCATCCCAATAGGTCTCTACGACGCTCGAGTAAATCCCCATTTAGCTTCGTGGGCTCCCCTACCAAAACAGATAACTAACGCGCTAACTCTCTTTCACTTTAATCTATTTTTGCCATGGTAACCATTGTTATTGTCGGACAAATGACATATAATATTATATTCTTTCCCTCTTTTCTTTCCTTTGGGGCCACTTTTACATAGGTAGAGGTATTTTTTCATGCACAGAAAAAAATTAGCTTTAATTTGATACATAAATGATGAACAGACGCGATGAACGTATAAACGTCCCAAAATATGACCCGCTTATACCTGGCTGCGAAGAGGTTGCGACCAAATGCGCAACGGCAGCTATCATTTTTCAAGATCTCTACGTATAGTTCTGTGAAGTGGAGTATAATTCATTGTAATAACAAATACATCGTTTTTATTCCAAAAAGTCAACTATTATTTAGTTAATTAAACATACTAGCGGGCACATTTGAATAGGCACCGCGGTCAAAACATATTGTCCCTTTTATTATTGTATATAAAAAAATGATTTCGATTAAATACGCTATGAACGTAGCAATCTTGCAGCGGGATCTTAGTCCATATAGGAACTGAAATATTCACGTTTTTTCTTTAAGTTTTTGTTTAGATTTGTTTTTATTTCAGCAAACTTTAAAATGATATTTTAGCTATTAAACTAAGCAACAGCTGTTAAACTAAACAACAGCTAAGCAAATTGTTTCGTTTAATAGCTATTGTTAGTAATTCATATTTTTTTAGTGTTTTAGTTATTGTTGATAAAAGCCGTTTCCCATTGTTACCGTAGGTTCAATCTCGCTTTTGTAATCTTAAGTTTTGTTTGTATATGCATGCTGTGTCTGCATCTAAAAAAATACAATCCTGTGTATTAATTTTGTAAGCTATTGTTATTTTATATGTGTTGGATTGTCATTTGTTTTGTGGACCAATAAACATGAATAAGTAAATATATATACGTAAGTTGTAATTTTTTATTTTTTTCCTGTCTCTGTACATAAAGAAATAAAATATACAATTCCAGGCGATGAAGAGTTCGTGGATGCAGAGGAGAGCGCGTCCCCGGAGGAGGCCGCGGCGCGTCTGCGGCAGATGCGGCTTGAGAACAGTAACGGACAGTACGACGGTGAGTTTGTGTATATATATGTAAATTCTGCACATTTTCACGTGTATTGTAACGTGTTTTCCCGTGGGAATGAAGTAATCTCCCGCGGTAAAAAGTACTTTCATCCCCAATTTTTACCCCCTTATAGGATGAATTCCGAAAAATGCTAAAACACGTATTTATTTTATTAAATTACTCGAATTATTTAGTATTAATACTTATTAATACCAAATAATTCGAGTAATTCTGATCACAAATATTTTTTCGAATTGTATTATGGTTTTCCCGTGGGAATTAGATAATCTATCGCAGTAAAAAATAGCCTGTGCTACTCTCCAGCCCTCCCAACTATTTCCACGCAAAAAATCACGCCAATCCGTCACTCTGTTACAACGTGAAAGAAGGACAAACAAACAAACACACTTTCACATTTATAATATTAGTATGGATAGTCTATCTATTCCATACTAACCGTTAAAACGTACCTAGCTATATATCGTTGGCTCACTATTACAAGGTTCTATGTTAATTTAAATGAAGTTTAGTAATTTCACTTTAAAAATGTTGACTTTCGAAAAATGTATACTTATTAGTCCTAATCCCTAAGTGACAGTTTATTAGCATAATTAAGGGCTACGTGATGCTTTCTAGGAACTAACAATTGGATATTGACTTGGATATTAAGCAATATTATCGAGATTAAAATAACATAGAACTTTGTGATACCAAAAAAATATTTTTATTAATTTTACATTGAAATAAGTAAAAGATATTAGTTTATGTCCAAGTTAAGTATTAATTTTGAGTCATCTGAACTATTATAATATATAACATATTATGTCTCAGTACCATTAAAAACATTACTTGTACATATGTGAAATTTATTATCATAAAAAATGGTTTAACACTTTGAATATTGCTTCATAGAACTCCTTGTCCACTGTAGGCATCCATCAATACATAGATTCTGCTGTGTGTGAACATCTAAAGCTCACTTCAAATCTATCTATACTATAATAAAACTGTAGAGGTCGAATGTCTGTACATAGAACAAAAATGCTAAAAACCGAGTCAGGGGGATGTAAGAAGACAAATTGAACAAATCCAGATTTTTCAATTTTTTTGTTTCTCTGCCTGTTTGTCTGTTTGTAAGAGCTAATCTCTGAAAGTATTGGACCGATTTAAGTGAAATTTTGCATGGTGGTACCTTATATCCCCGGTCAACATCTAAGATACTTTTCATTCAGGAAAATTAAGGAGTTCCCGTGGGATAGTTAAAAAACTATAGTAACTTATACAACTTAGTACACAACAACTTATGCACCTAATTTAGTAAATTTTGGCATGCTGATACCTGCCTGTCTAACAACAAGTTACTTTTCATCCCGTAAAAATGAACGGTTCCCGTGGGATATACCTGTTTGTGAGCCGCTAGTTGTAAATAAAACTCTAAGCAAGTTCCTCTGTTTTACATAGAACTTTGTTATTTTGTGATTTAAAAAAAAAAACAACACAGAACTATGTAAAATTGAATATTTTGTAGGTATAGTGCTGCTATCTAGTGGTTTGTTTTTGCAAAACTGTAGCTAATGACAGAATAGATAGAACCTTGTAGCATTCATAACTACATAAGTACTAAAATTGTAACATAGAACCTTGTAATATTGAGCCAACAATATAAAGATAGATATAACGTTTTATTTTCAGACTATGAAGACGCGGAGGCAGCTGAAGAGTGATTTAATTTAGTTGTAACACATTAGTTTTATTTACTTCCTAAGTGTTTCACCCTCGAGCTTCGAGGGTCGTCCAAATATTTTAATTATTATGATAATTTGCTCCAAATGTGGTTTCAGTGCATGTATTTATAAGTAACGTCTCGAATTAATTTACTTTATTTTGTACTATAGCATATAAATACTTCTTTTTATTAACCTCCCAGTTAAAATTAAAAAAAAACTTCTTGTTGGAGATAAATGTTAATTATAATGTGTATAAATACTTACAGAAATAGTTTAGTTAGCAGGCTTTATATCACTTTGCCGAGGTCACATATTTGATGTTGAGCTTTCTTGTATTTGTATTGTAATTATGTTCATTTAAAAATGACCTCTGATTCACTTCAGAAAAGTTTAATCAAAACGAACCTAGACTTTTGATATATTCGTACTATAAAAGGAATTGAAACGCACACTTTTATATAACCTTTTGATATAAATTTGAAAAAAATATAAATACATTTAGAAAATGGCAGTTGATATTAGTTCTTTTGTTTTAAAGTAAAAGCGGAATAATTGCTATAATAATATTAATTTAAATGATTCGCATAATCTAAAAAATAGCAGTCACGAGGATTGCCAACAGAAGTGAAAACTTAAAACTATAAACAAACAGTTGTTTTTTTTTGGATATTCAAATTAATTGTTAATTCATTAATCTTAAATTAAAACTGTTTACACATTTATCTGGTGTTGACACCTATCGGCACTGAGTGTTAGCGTTAACACGTCACGTGACCGTGTCGATGACGACTTACATGAATTTACTCCCCATCCAAACCTGCCTATAGAAGTTTTCACTTCAAAAAATTTGCTTATTTTGTTCAAAAATTGGCTATGGAATATTATTTTTAAGGAATTTTCCAAGTATCAAGACTTTGTATTTTATATTAAAAAAGATTTTTTAGTGCCAAGCTTATTTGCTTGTTTACAATTTAAAAATATATAGTTTACTTTCCTGTATCTTAAATAATATTAGAAAAAAATGAGAGGACCGTTTTGATGGAACTCCAAAAGTTTGTATAACTTCAGAAAGCAGAGTTATTATTTTTTTAATGTAATCCATATTATTAATTCCAATGTGGTAACTCATAATATCCATGTTACATAATATATTTTCCTATAAATTATCTAAAACAGTGTATGCCAAATTACGTAGTGGATGAATTGTAATAAGTTGACACGCTTTAACTGTGATTATTTTCTTGAGTGTATTCAAGTATTCAAAAAAGATATTAAACCATTAAAAAAATTACTTTGTTTCAATTTTCTGATGAATGCATCTTCTGTACATTTAGCTACCTTTTACTACTACTAGTAGTAGTACCTTTAAATAGTATAATTAATGAAAACAAATTTATCCCACGGGAATCGTGCATTTTTGCGGGATAAAAAGTAGCCTATTCCAGATTATAATCTATCTCTGTGCCAAATTTCATCTGGATCTGTTCAGCCGTTCTGGCGTGATTGAGTAACAAACATGCATTCAAACTTTAATATTTATATATTACTAGCAGAACCCGCGGCTTCGCTCGCTTGTAGTAAGGTAGTTTCATACAAACTTTCATCCCCTATTTTACTCCCTTATAGGATCAATTTCGAAAAATGCTAAAACACGTATTTATTTAATTTTATTAAAAAGTATTAAAACCAAGTTTCAAGTAATTCTAATCATAAATATTTTTTTGGATTGTAATATAACGTGTTCTCCCGTGGGAATTAGATAATTTATCGCAGTGAGAAATAGCCTATGTCACTTTCCAGCCCTCCGAGTATCTCCACACAAAAAATCACGCTAATCCGTCGATCCGCGTCCACGTGAAAGAAGGACAAAGAAACAAACACACTTTCACATTGAAATGAAATAAACTTTATTCAATTAGACTTATTACAAGTACTTTTCCAGCAGTGGTTTTTCCATGATGCGGTCAGACAGACAGACAAAAATTCTAAAAACTATAGATTCGGCCTCTGTATCGATAATAATGTCTATTTCAATAAGATTTTCAAAAAAAAAAAAAAACAATTAAATGTACAGATTTGGTTTAGTTACAATTTTATTATGTGTATAGATTATGTGCAAAAAGGGAGTAAATCCCTAATAAGAAAGAGAACTTATGCCTAAAAATACAAAATAACATTACTCCATTTTTATTATTCATATGTTCACCATTTTTCATTTCAATCATTAATACCTGTATAATATTTCTTATTCTTTGAAGAAAGCTAACGACATGTATAACAAAACCGAGAATAGCAGCATATGCAGCAAATTACGCTCTTATTGCTGACTTTGACATATTTTATTTTTTATTTTACCTAATATAATTCTAAAGTTTGATACATTAACGAGGAAAACTTTGAGACTAAGAAATACTCTTGTGTACTTAGGTGTATGAGACTCGTTTTAGATACTAACATGGGCGTCGGGGTACAAGGGGATGCACTCTCACCCCCTGCCATGAAGGAAAATATATAGAAAAAGTTAAAGAAATAGAATTATGAGTAAAATCCGTGTTTAAATTGAGATATCTTCAAAGACGATAAATAATATATGAATAAAAATTATAAAGTTAATTATTTAAAGATTAGTTAGTACCTAGTTCAATGTACAGAATTCTCTTCGACTCTTCTCAAGTAGAACTACCTTTCTTATTGCCGTATTATTCTTTATCCTTATTATTTTTTATTCTTTAATGGCTTAGAATCCTATATTTATATACTGATATTTAATCTTTAAAATGGAAAATGACTAGTCAAAAGAGCTAGTAAAAGTATTTGAATCCCATATATCTTACTACTATATAAATGCAAGTTTGTATGTGTGGATGTTTATTACTCAATCACGCCAGAACGTCTGAACGGATCTGGATGTAATTTGGCACGCAGTGGTAGATTATATTCTGGAATATCACATAGGCTACTTTGTATCCCGGAAAATGTTCCCGTGGGATATATATATTTTGTAGGCAGAGAAACCAGAGAAAGAAGTGTATGGCAGGTAGAGAAACCACTTAAACAAAGACAGTACTTTACGCTTTAGAAAATAAGTGTAAAATGAAACCCAAATGTACACTACAGTTTTATTAGGAAAACACAATACGTTATAGTTCATTTATTTTAACAATTAAGAAATAGAGCGTCGCGTGTACGTTTGTACTTGCATTACCTCTAACATACCTACATACATACTACACGACGTCAATACTTACTCTATACAAAACTGCATCGCCACTGTTTACTTACTTTATAATATAAATATATATAATAATTTATGTTCTTCGACCATTTATATATATTTAGACTTGTCTTTTAGACCCCATAACGACCATGTTGGGGTCTAAAATACCCAAAACCCCTAAAACTTTTAGAAGCAACCTCCATTTTATATATATTCTTAAATTTGTCATGGTTAAATTATAATAAATTTGATAGGAAAAACGAATAGTTAAAAAAATTTACAAACATAAAAGAATCGATTTTGATGAAACTTTAGCTACTTCACAGGTCTATCCTAAGAACATTATAAATACCTATATTATATTACATAGCGTAATTAAACAGTGGTATTACAGCCGGTTATATCTAGCAACCTCATCTATATATTTATTGATTACAAAATGTAATCTTATTTTATATTATAGGACGTAGTCATGTGTTAGTTCAATTGCGATTTGTAAAACTAAATTAATGTGCGCTTTGGTTTTAGATACTGTCTTCTATAGGCTATTGGAAATAAAATAATACTTTCTTATTATAAATCAAATAATATACATACATGTAAAAGTTAAAATCAAAATGAAAATTATTTTAGGAATAGAACCTTTGACCTTTAAAACTGCGGCCATTTTGATTTTTGAAAAATATATGAGAACTATATGCATTACTTTTAGTTTATTGTTTTTTTTTACTAATATACACGAAGTAATTCGTATTAAAAGTGATTTTAATTAATCTCATTGTTTTAAAACGACAATCTTTACGTAATATCTCAATAAGGTGATACTTTAAGGCACCATATCGTTGATATTTGTTCATTTAAGTGACATATTTCCAAACAAAGACCTACATACATAAATCCATCTAATTTAAACAAAAATAAAATGGCAGCAATTTAATTAAAAAAATGTTAGAATTCCCTATAATATGTGTATTTGTTTGTAATTAAAGACTTTGCTTCAAGCTATAGAAGTCAGACTTCGATGACAAAACTTTATATTTTATATAATATAATATAAAAAAAAAAACAAGCATCGCCTATAATAGACAATACCTAACTGATACAAAAATAAACATACGTAATAATTTACCGTTCATAAAACAAAGTCATATTTCAGAAATATTAAAAAACCTAAATTTACAAAAATATTTGGTAAATATATTCATGAAATATATAAATTGTTATAATTAAAAGAGTAATGTTAATGTATTTTTCAAATATGACTTTGTGATAGATATAAAACAAACATAATACAATATAATATAAACTACAGATATACACACAATTATAATAACAGTCTTAATTTCATAGAAGTCCACACAAACATTATATACTATTATATACCTTAATGCAACTAAAAATTAATATAACGGGTTAGAAATCAAATGTGAAATTAAAAACAAAATTGCAATTTATCGAGACTTAATGAAATAATGAAATTGTGCATATTTAATTTTTTCATTATAAATATTAGATTTGGATCAAAAATAATTTTACAATAGAAATAAGAAAATATATAATGCTATGATTAAATCTAAAATATATATTACTTTTATTATGAGACAGAGATAGCATTTATTCTGCCCAATTCCCTTTATATTGGCTAATACTCTATACATCGAATCCAATGTTCTAACAGTAAATACCTGTAGACACACTGGTCACATTTTGATGCAGTTTTTATACTATTATAAGGTGCGTTTCACAGTAACGAAAAAACTATTCACATTTAATTATTATGTTTATTTTCTATAAAATACTTATATTTATTTATTAAACGGAATCTGGAATATATTACTATCTGTAATGTCAAATTTGACAGATTAAATGTCAACTCTGTTGTTAAATGTCAAATCGCAGTTGACGTCTCTAGCACGTGACTACGCCTGAGCGAGCGCCGCCTTACAATCAAAACTCTTTATGCCACTTTGAAAAAAAAACAATTTTGACTGTAATTTTGTACTGGAAATTGGATTTTGAATATAGAACACCTTAGAGCATTTGTAAATATTGTAAAATACTTACATTATTTCATTATTAAAATTGGCAAGTTACGATAAACGTAATAATTACTAGTGATGTATTTATTACATTCGTTAGTAACTAAAAAATTAAAAAATATATATATAACAAAATAATTTAAAATCCAAGTCTCGAAACCATAATCCAAAATCCGAAGTAACACTCGCTCACATCCGAAACGATAATGAAGATATTAGAAACAAAAACATTGACCTACCATCACGCCGTCGTGAGGACGACGGGTTTGGTCTCGACGGTGCCATTGACCTCGGTCTCTGTGACGGTCTGGGCGGTCTGGGCGGCTTGGGCGGACTGGGCGGTTTCGGACTCGGCGGGCTGGGCGGTTTCTGCCGTTTCCGCCAGCTCGACGTCCGCCTTCGTCTCAACGTCGGTATCTTGACTGGATGTGTCTTGAGATTTTTCAGAATCAGTTTGATCCATGGGCTCTTCTATTTTTTTATCATCTTTATTTTCTTGTGATTTGTCTGTTGAAAAAATAATATAAAATATCAATATTAAATAAATCTTAACTATGGAGATAAAATTAAATAGCAAAAATCGTAAATCTACAAAATTTAAAATATTTTCCTTTATTTTAGCATTTTAATTTTATAAAAAACAAGACTCACCATTTTCATCAACTTCCATCGGCGTTTCCGTTTCTGTTTGTGTTTCAGGTTCTTTTTTCTCGTTACCATTTATCTTCTGCAAATAATTGTTATGTTTTGTCATTAATTCAATATTAATAACAATAATAAATCGTCGACTTAGTGCTTATTTGTTTAAACGACCAATACTTCATATACTTTCCAGTACAAATTGTTTCCTCTATTTTAAAAATTAAGCTTTATTTCTAAGAATTAATGTATATTCTACACGAATGTTATAAAGAGGCAGAGTTTGTTTGTTTGAGAGCATTAATCTCAGGAAATACTTGTCCGATTTTAAAAATTCTTATTGCATTAGATACCCCGATTATTGTGGAAGGCTATAGGCTATATATCATAATATAATATAGTCTATCTATTCCATACTAACCGTTTAAAACCCGAGTGAAGCGAGGGTGAGTCGCTAGTACATTATATAGACAAAATACAAATTTTCGGCTTTATTAAATTAAATGTCTATTTAATACCAATAAAATTAATATATAAAAGTCAGTAATTTTTTGAATTTAAAAATTCTTTCAATAAATTGGTTTTTTATACAAAAAAGCACTGAGACAACAAATTATGTATTAATATTTTACAAATCTATGGACAATACTCGACAACACAAACATTTACTCAAACCAGTTTTAATAAAAAAGGCGTCATTACACAATCTATACCGACACCTTACAATCTAATGTCTACAATTCCTTCACCTATAATATATTTAAAAGAAAAACCTACACGTAAATCACAGTATAAAAATCCAAACAATCTCCTTTGATTTTAACGGACATCCGTTTCCTCTACCAAAAAATATTAAGATTTAGCAAAATGTCATTAAATCTAACAAATTGAAAATCTCACGTCAACTTTAAAATAATATAATATGTATGTTATATTGTATAGGTAAGAAAAAAAATATTTTTTAGTTTCCTTTGTAGGTGTCCTGATGTCTTCGTTAGACCGTAAGGAGACAGTATGAATTTGTAGACTGCCTCAATATATATAATGTAATACTATTTTTACTTAATTATGAAATAAATAAATAATTTAACAACAAATAATTAACCGACTGTACCAAAATGTATACATATATAATTAAAAAAACCTAATTCCGACGCGCCTTTTTTCCTTTACTGGAAGCACTCGACGTCGTGGACTTTGGTGTTTTTCTCTTTTTCGTCTATTCATATTTATAAAAAAATAAATAAATGAAAAATAAAATTAAAGCCTTCTTTGTCTGTAGAAATGAAACAATATAATATCTACAATTCTTTAAAACATTTAAAATAATAGGCTCATTTCAAATACTTTAATAATGCTACTATTTACACTACCTTTAGGATATTTTTTGAGAATAAAAAAAAAACTAATATCATAATACTTTTTTAGATTTACGCGGGTATTTGACATTTTACAATATATAACTATTTTTTCGGATTTTCTTGCGGAATTATTTTGATTTTTGGTGCCCAACGTTTTGAATGCTTTACAGCAATCATGGTCTCTTTCTCCCGTGACAAACGCAAAAAAAAGCATTCGAAACGTCGGGAACCAAAAATCGAAATAAATCCGAAAAGATAAGTTTTATTTTAAAATTATCATATCTTTTCATATGCGTGTAACGTTTTCGCGCGGTTGAAGTAAAACTTCTTTGGCGCTGTGACAGATACCACAAATAAAATAATTATTATAAAAATATCAGTAAGAAACATACATTTTTATAAATAATAATTATTATACAAATATAAATATAATATTTTTTTAAAATTATCTGTTCTAATATTATAGAGGAAAAAATTGTTTTTTTGTTTGTTTGTTTGTATCAAATAGGCTCCGAAACTACTCAACCAATTTAGATGAAATTTGGTGAGAAAATAATTTCAGACCCTGGAATGGATATAGGATAGTTTTTATCCCTTTAGTGAAAGTTTGTATTGGGAAGCAACCTAGGGACGAACCCAAACAAAGCGAGGGCGAATCGCTAGGTAATAATAAAATTGCCTCTCACTTCCGTGAAACTCATTTTTCCAATGTAATGACTTACCCCTCAGTCACGCCCAAAGAAGTTTTACTTCAAAAATAATTTTTATATACATTCATTATAGATAATAATATTATTATAAGTGTATATGTATATATACACCTATAATATTATTCTGATCTCTGTATATTTCGCGTGTAAAATGACGTCATACCTCCGGTTTCACCTCCGTGACGTCAGCAGTCTGCGCACTAGAAGTTGATGAGATCTCCTCATCTTGCTCCTGCTTCTTCTGTCTCTTGCTCGGTCTCTTCTCTTCTACTGGCTCTATCTTCTCTTCTTCTGTCTCTTTCTCTGGCGCCGGTGACGCTTCTTTTTGGGCTGTGGGATCTTCCTATAATAAATAGTTCTTTTGATTTATATAGTTACTTTTTTTCTTTTGTTTTTTATATACTAATGATAAATATATATAAAAAGAAATAATTTTTAAATAATTAAGTTCTATTTATATAAATATTTGCACACTCTTTATGAGTAGAATATGTATGAACTTAACTGTAAACCATAAGAACATTGTAAATACCATATTCTGAGCAAATAAAGAATTATTATTATTATATTATTACAAAACATCATAGTAATGTGTGTTTATGATCACTATATATTACAATTTTTATAATCAAAATTAAACTGTGAAATAATTTGAAGAATCTTCTTTTGAAATTTTAAAAGATTTTCTAGAAATTATATTAGTGACAGATTATGAATCAGAAAAATTTCAATGAAGTAGAAACGTATCGTAGAAATAGTATAAAAATTCATACAGTGTCCCATACTTTGACACTCTCATATTAAGTCGTAGGACTGACGGCTTGACGTGCTCCCTGAAACACGGATGTGGAACTTCCAACTCCGGGCTATTACTGGGAACACCTTAACGTAGAAACCTCAGTATATTTTAATAGAAATACTCAATGATTGAACTAGATTACCCGAAAAGCGGGTAACTTTAGGCGATTTTTGTTGGCGGGTAATTTTGACAGGTATTTTAGTAGAAAGCAAGTATTTTAGTTTAGGTGCTTAATAATTTGACAAGTTTTTTACGTTTGATTTAATAATTTAAATCTGTTTAATTGACAACTGATTACAATGACATCTTTTTCTAACATTAGTACTTTCTTTTATTCTAAAATAAATAACTTAAAAAAAACTATTTTCGGGTATTTTGCTGATGGCGGGATAAACCGATTAAACCGGGTATTTTGAGGTTTATTGGTAGGGTAAATTAACGAGTGTTATCTGGCAGCCCTGAGCCCTGGAACTAGAGTACCTGTAGCAGAACGGAGTGCTGTCCGCCGGCGGAGGCCCGCAGGGCTGCGGGCGACAGGCGCTGCGGCTCGGCGGCGTCGGCGCGCGCTCCCGTGCCCAGCTGCCCCTCGCTGCCCATACCCCACGCGTACACCTCACCTGCACATACAGACACCTTGTATTATTAATACTTAACGTTAATGTTTAATATCCATACTAATATTTTAAAGAGGTAAAGTTTGTAAGTTGTGAGATTGTGAGTTTGTGACGTAGGATGTAATTTCTGAATCTATTGAATTAATCTAGACAAAATTTGGTACGAAGATAGTTTGAGACTCTGGGAAGGACATAGGATAGACATTTTTATCCCGGAAATCATCCCTAAAGGGCGTGAAAATGGGGATGAAAGTTTGTATTGGGAAGCAACCTAGGGACGAACCCGAGAGAAGTGAGGGTGAGTCGCTAGTCTATAATAATTGTATTTAGCCCCTTTTTTTAAAGTTCCACTGATGGGTACGGGCCTCCCTTTAATACGAGGGGGATGAAAATGTCACGAGGTGCGAGACCCGGGATTTGAACCCGTTTCACTTGGTTTCCTAAGCCAGCGCGTTACCACTGGGCTACCACTTACCTAATATTAGTCTATAATAATTACTTAATAATTCTTTCTTATATTTACGTGAATATTTGACATTTTAAATAAAACTATCGAAATATAACGTATATTTTTTCGGGATAAAAAGTAACCTATGTGTCATTCTGATGTATGAGCTATATTATTGTAAAGTTTCATTAAAATCCATTTGGTAGTTTTTGCGTGAAAGTGTAACAAACATCCATACACCTATACATCCTCACAAACTTTCGCTTTTATAATATATTTAAATATTATTAGGATATAAAACATGAAGAACTAAAAATCACAATAAATCCGCGAAAGAATCCGAAAAAAAATAGTTTTATTAGAAATACCAAATATTCTAAATGTATGCAAATCTAAGGAAGTATTATTTTCTACCATTATTTTGGACCATCCATTACAAACAATTTACAAAACGTGTAATAAATAACAATTAATAAGATCCATTACCTGTATCCGTGACCGCAAACGAGTTGCTGGTGCCCGCTGCGATGCACACGCACTTCTTGTTCTGCAGCTTGGGGATGGGTTCCAGCACTTCCGCGTCGCCAGACTTCTCGCCCAGCCCTAACCTGGAATAAAACCAATAATAAATAATGAATTAGAGGTTATCTTTACCGGTTGACGTAAATAAATTAACTAACGACTTACACTCTCAGCAGCTCAACACATACATAGTATAACTCATAATACTATTAGTATTTCTAATTGGACACATTCTCCCCATACTCGCAGCGTTCCAGCGCAATGCTTTTTTCGAGCAAGTTATACTCATTAGCTCTAAAGCCATTTTCCGACGCATAATATACGGTCATATAAAAGCAAGTATGACCCCGTTGTAGAACTACTATGTCTAGATTCTTTCATTAGATGACTGTGTGGACAAATACACTGTGCTATATACAGTATTCTAATGAGCCCGTCGCTCCCCTGTACCTGCTTTACTCGCAGCGTCCCAGCTCAAAACATACACAGCACAACTTATAATACCAAACAGTATTCTATCTTACCTGCCGTACTCACAGCGGCCGAGCGCGTGCGCGACGCCGGCGCGGTCCAGCGCCAGCGAGTGGTGCTGGCCGGCGGCGACAGCGCGCCACGTGTTGCCCGCGAACGCATCGCACTCCATAGGTGCGAACAGCGCCGTTTTGCGTTTCTCGCCTGTTATACCTGGTGGTGGATTATATATAGTATTAGTACAAGTCACATAATACTATATTTTTACAGATGCCTCATCCCATACAAAGATATTGGACAGCGCTAATTCGGGCTGTTTTTGTTTGCTTAATTAGAGAGATAGCGAACGCGTCGCACTCCGTGCGAAAACAACGCCGTTTAACGTTTCTTGTCTGTTATATCTGGTCGTGGATTACATATAATATTAGTACAGTAAAATAGTAAATTAACGTCGTAACCCAGTGGTAACGCGCTCGCTTGGGAAACAGAGTGAAGCGGGTTCGAATTCCGGGTCTCGTATCTCTGATATTTTCGGGCTATCACTACCTCAAACTACATAATATCATAAAAAACTAACATTGTAGATACCATTTATCAAATTTTAATAAAAGTATCGAAATATTGCTTTCTTTGATTTACATGAATATTTGACATTTTAAATAAAATAAAAACCTAAATTTTGAATGTTTTACAAGAAACAAGTCAATAATTATAGTGATGAACGGTATACGTCTCCATTCCTAAACTCACTAGCGACTCACCCTCGCTCCGCTTTGTTTCGTCCCTAGTTACGTTTTAACGTTTAGTATAGATTTCTCAGAGATGAGATATCTTCCCGCAGTAAAAAGTATCCTATATGTTGACCCAGATAACCAGCTATCACCATACCAAAATTTCATCAAAATCTGTACTGTTTTCTCGTGATACATTCCCAGACAGACGGACTCACCGAGCTGCCCATAGTTATTCAGCCCCCATGCGAACATCTTCTCGCTGGCGGCGTCGAGCGCGAAGGTCGCGTGGTATCCGGCCCAGATCTGCGACGCGCCCGCCTTCAGGGTCACTTTGGATGGCACTAGCAGTGCACCTGAAATTATAATATATTTATTATTATTATTTACATGTCTAACTAAATAAATAAAAAGTGTCCGTTTGTAATGGCAAAAATAACTAAGAAGCTTTTTACTAAATGCATATGAAAGTATATATGGTATAGCATGTCTTCTCCATTCTACGCGACATTGGCGAAGTAAACTATGCCAATGGTACTAAATAAGAGCTAGAAGCCACTAAATAAACAAATTGAATTGAAATATATATGGTACTAATAAGAAAAAACATTTTTAAAATATTTTTCTTTCTGTGTGGTTAATTAAACATATTACTAATTCGATTGTTAATTGAATTACATGATAGAACCTTAATAGTTTAATGATTTGAATACCGCTGTTGAATTTGTAATTTTTAACTGGCTTCCAAAAAGAAGGTTTCGTCCGTCTGTATGTATGTATTTTCTTTTATCATATTAGTATAAAATTATAATATACTACGCGACATTGGCGAAGTAATCTGTGCTCAACTGGCACGATTTGTACGCACGTAAGAAGTTATACTTCTTATACGTAATTTTTCTATAAAAATATTATCTTCTTATTCATAACAGAACAAAAATAGCTAAAGGTTTCATTCCGTATGTCACAACATTCTGTAAAAGGAATGCAGGCAGCTAACTTCATCATGTCGCTTTTTCGCTTTTGGCTGTGTAAAAATTTTACTCTCATAATTTTTTGCCAAACGTGCCAAAAGAAGTATAACTTCAATAATATGATAATAAAATATACTAACTGAACCCTTGACGAGCGTCGCGCGATGCGGACCGCTGCGACAGGCGGCCCAGCTGTCCTTGTTCGCCACACCCCATCGTGTACACCGACCCCGATGTCTATAATAGGAAAAGTAATGTAAATATAAATAAATATACCAAAATTGTTCATGACGAACAAAAGAAAGATTTGGATATCTTCTCTTTATTATTGGTTGAGTGTAGGGCTTGATATAATAAATCGCCATATGATAAAGGCAATAAGGTCGACGATAGTAACTCTGGCGTCTACAAATATTAATATATTACACTCACGCAAATACTTGACAGTTTATGCATTTAAACTAACTATCTTTTCGGATGGGAGAACCAAAAACTAACATAATTCCGCGAAAAAAAAGACAAAATAGTTTTTTTTAAATAATGTGTTAATATTACTATTTTTTTAATAAAAATATAGTATTAGATTTAATCAAATGATGCCATTTATAAACGAACTTAACTAATTTATATAAAATCCACATTAGATATAGCTTACAAGCAAAGAGGGTTTTCGATTTTCGGATACCAGATGTTGCTACGTAGGCGTCTGGTCTAAACAACAGTCAAAAATGTCAAGTTGTACTGAATTTTCGGCAATTTTTTAATACTTCGATAACTAATAATCATCCATCGTGAAGCGGTTTTTACAGAAGAGGCTATTTTTCGTTGGAGTATAGGTTCTACGAATGGCTATAGAGAAACTCATGCCATCCTGTATTATTTCAACATATAGGCACTGCATAACACTGTGACATTTTATAAAAGAAGATATTTCTCTACTTATGAATTAAAAGATAATTAAATGAAAAAAAATATATCATACAGACGCTCATGTATTAATTTTGAGAGATGATTAGACATTACGCTACAGCGCCGCTATCTCTTGTATCTCATGACAAAAAGTTCATCAGTACAAAACCTTTATTCCTTCGCTTCCCAAACGACAAAAAAAATGCCAAGCGGTGGTGACCCACCACTCACCGTGAGTATGACGAGGTGGTCGCCGCCGCTGGCCACGGCGACGGCGGGCTCGCCCACACCCACGCGCACGGGCTCGCGGCACGCCTTGCCCTCGCGCCCGCGCACCACCAGCCCCATGCTGCCGTGCGAGTCCTGCATACAAGACACAAACAGGACAATCAATATTCAAATATTTTATAACTACAACAATCAAATATATAATAACTGGCGACTCACCCTCGCTTCGCTCGGATCCGTCCCTAGGTACGTTTTTAATATTTTTTGAGTGGAACTCTAATTCTTTTTCTAAAATAAAAGTAGCCTATGTTAATGCCTATAACATCCGATGAAAGTCCCGTCAAAATCAGTCCAGCAATTTCAGAGATTATACGAAACAAACAGACAGACAAAAATTTTAAAAGTTGTCTTATAAGTACCGTATAATATAATTCCATATACATTAGTAAAACATTGTTTATTTGACATTACAAACAGACACTTCAATTTGATTTATCTGTATACAGAGATGTATTCGATAGAAACTGGTGGAGGCAGATCATCCGCTCCAAATGCAACCCTAATGCTGACCACGATCCTCAGACATGAGGGATCGACCCCAGAGAGTATAGATTAGTGTAACAATACTAACTCTGAACGCGCCCCACGCATACACATCGCCGTTGTCTAGCAGGGCGGCGGAGTGCGAGTCCCCGGCGGCGACGGCCACGGCGGCGCGCGGGAGCGCCACCGCGCGCGGAGCACCCTCGTCCGCGTCGCCCGCCGTAGGCCTCCCCAGAGCGCCCTCGTCGTTACATCCGAATGTCCATACCTGGATAACAGTTATACATATTTATTCTATAATATTAGATTTTTTTTCTATATCTATACTAATACTAGCGGTTTACCCTCGCTTCACTCAGGTTCGTCGCTAGGTACGTTTTAAATAGATATAAATCGTTATTAGCCAGCGTTAGCCATATAAATTTTATTTTTTATCGTTAATTTTTCTGATGTTTTAATACTTATCATCCTATTCTGGATCTAAAAAATCAAATATCATAAAAATTGGTCCCGCCGTTCTTGAGTTATAAATAGTGAAATGATCACGACTTTGTTTTATATATATAGATTACTAGCAGAACCCACGGCTTCGCTCGCGCTAAAACTACAAAAAATATCTAAAAAGGTCTTGTCTTGCAAACTTTCTCTCCTCTATTTTACCCCCTTATAGGATGAACTTCGTATTTGTTTAATTTTATTAAAGAGCATTAATACCAAATTTCAAGAAATTCTGATAATAAATATTTTTTATGCATGTATTATTAACATGTTTTCCCGTAGGAGTGAGATAATCTCCCGCGATAAAAAGTAGCCTATGTCACTCTCCAGCCCTCCAACTATCTCCACATTAAAAATCACGCCAATCCGTCGTTCCGTTTCGACGTGAATGAAAGACAGACAAACAAACACACTTTCACATTTATAATCTTAGTATGAATATTTCATTTTTTTACTATATAAATCTTAGAAATATTATAGATGTGAAAGTTTAGATGTTTGGATGTTTTACTGTTTCACATTGAAATACCTTTGCAGATTTAAATGAAATTAAACATTGATACTACGAGACTTAAGGCTGCACCTGAACAAAGCGATGGTAAATCATTACTTTTAATATTATAAAAGCTAAAATAATGTTCAAAATATTTATTTCACTGTCACAGCTTATTTTTTCAAATAAATAATAAAACCATATATTAGTTAATCAATGTGATTGTAATTTTTAACTAATTATAGCATATTTATATTGAAGTTAAAAAAAAATCTAAAGAAAATACACCATCTATACTAATAAATCGGAAGCCGATTTTTTGTTCGGTGATACTGCGATAACTACTGGACGAATCGGAATAATACTCATACCATAAGATGCAGCGTGTTTCGGAGGTTTTAGTATAACATATGTTAGTAATTAATGTACTATGCAGGCGGAGCCGCAGGAAAACGCTAGTAATATATATATCTTAATCTTTTGCACAACAATTTTTTAAAATATATTTAAAAATACTATAAATAACCTATTTTCTTGTTTCAATAAAAATTCAATTTAAATATAATATTAAATAACCCAAAAAACCATTTACCTTTCCATCACTATCCAAAGCAATAGTATGCATGCCTCCAGCACGAGCATCCACTATCTTATTCCCGAGAGATGACACAGGCTTGAATCTACAAAATATATAAAGTATTAAATTAGAATAAATTAATATAATTTTTGTAAATAAATATAAACTACTTTGTACACCAATTTAGTAAATAAATAAAAACCATTTTAAAAAATCTTAAAGTATAAGATGTTTGGATGTATGTCTGTCTGTTAATGTATAAATCAATGAACAGATTTGGATGAAATTTTGCAAATTGTATTAGCGTATAGTATAGTGTTTAAGAGAAATATGTATTACTTTCTTGCAAAATGCTATCAAGTCGATGTTTATTTATGTAATAAAAGCCAAGTCTGTTTGTAAAAACAGGTGTATGACAAAAGTGAGGAGGTTTTCTACAAACAAACTAATATATTATACAGGTAGACATATTTGTAATGCAGAATTTCTTAATACATATATAAAATTCCCTTGTCATGATGTTGGTCGGGGATAAACTCAGAAACTACTTATCTGATCTTAATTTAATTTGTTAGGATAATTTTTAACCTGGTTATATTCCTTTTTTATTGCAAAATTATCTAAAACTATAGATTCGACCTTTGTATCGATAATAATTAATAATGACTACTTCAATAAGATTTTCCAAAAAAATTTTTATGTACAGATTCGACTCAGAATTTTATTATATGTATAGATAATTTATTTCATAATGTTACATTTCTAAAAGTGAAAGACATATGTAGTTAACTTTCTATAGTATAAAATCAAAACAAGTGGTACGTTTTTACAATCTCTGGGAGGTCACATGTTTATAGATACAAGTAGAACATGTGTTTTGTATAAAACAAAAATAGTTTGGTTTGACTGCTTCAAGTGCAGTTGTTGAATTAGAATATTATTAAAATGGCAGCCGGAGAGCTAAAAATTTGCATTAAATTGATTTAATTTTGTACTCTAGCGATGTCATAGGCTAATATGTCAAAGTAAGAGATAAAAATAATATAAGAATAATTAGGGATGTGCTAGATCAAAATGTCAGCTTTATTCTAAGTTTTCTAAAAATGCAATAGCTATTTTATTTATTTCCAATTCATTTACCATTATATGGATACATTAAAATATTTGTAATATTAACAAACATTTTTTTTATTACATCTAAATCACTTCAAGCAATGACTGTATATTCTACTTACTTTGTAGTCTCAAGAACACCTTCTCCCAAACCCAATTGACCGACATCACCTTGACCGCAGGTTAACACACAACCTCTTTTCTTGGGAGCAGATGGTATTTCCAATTGGATTGCTGTGTAAAAATATTTTTTAATTATTTTCTTAATTATAGCATTCAATCTAAGAAATATGAATGAATAATAAATTCTTAATGCATATAAATACAATATTAATCTTACGTTGTTTTTTTCCAGGATAAAAAATAACCAATGTGCTATTCCAGACTATAATCTATCTCAGTGCAAAATTTCGTTTCGATTCATTCAGCTATGAAAGAGTAAAAAACATACAAACTTTCACATAAAATATTAGTATGGATTTGGCATCATAAATTAAGCTTAATGTAATCGTAGAGGTCATGTTGATAACATATTATTATCACATTATATAAAAGTAATTAAAAAACCTTTAAACTGTAGTAATTTATAATAGAGATTCAGCCATTTTTTAAAGTCATTATTAATTATCAACATAGATAATTAATAAAGCAGTGTAATACATAATAACAATAATAATTAGCGGCGTACACTTGGGTGCGTCTCTACATTTTTTTTTGAGAGGAACCCTAATTCTCTTTCTAAAATAAAAGTAGACTCAGTTACTCCTTATAACGTCAGCTATCTGCCAGTCAAAGTCCCGTCAAAATCAGTCTAGCAGTTGCGGAGATTTGCCGGAACAAACAAACAGACAAAAATGTTAAAAATGGTTATTTTCATAAGTATCATAAAAAATTTCATGCAATGCATTTAGTAAAAAGCTTTTATTTCAAGATTACAAGCAGACACTTCAATTTTATTTTTCTGTATAGATGTCTAGATAAGAAAAATAAGCATATTAACATTGTACAAGATAGAATGTATATTATTATTTACAATATGACATAACAACTCGTCACAACAACAAACAGTCAATTCATAAATCAGAATAACTATTTTTTTATTAAGCACCATTTAAACTTGACCTACATGCCTTGTAAGATTTCTTAGAATATCAAGATCTAATTATATTTGTCATTATTCTCCACTGGCATTGAGTTAGTAATGACTTTGCAGATAGGAAGCAATTATTTATGTCAATATGTCATCAGAATTTTTATCATCTTTTTGGTGTGTGATTAAAAATAACATACAGTATATTTTGTTAATTTAAATAAATGTGTTATGTGATATGGGTATTATTACAACTTATTCATATTATGAGTATATTTTTGGAAATTTAATTTATGACTCATATAATTTAAGTTTATATATACTTTGTAGACTTATTTAATATACCTAAAAATGTATTATTTGCAAAGGTTTTATCAATTTTATATCAGAAATCACTATAATAACGTATAATCTGAATTAAGTGGTTATCTATGACACTGTCATGTTATTACCATATTGCTGCACGAGTTATTTTCCATGTTTTATCTCAAGGGCTACTTGCGGTTTATATGTTTATTAATTTAAAAAACGTTACGTTTGAGATAACAAATAAGCAAAATATGGGAAGAAATAAAGCAATAAATTATATCAAATCAAGGTCAACATCATAAACATACATCTAATATTGTTAGAAAATAAAATGGCAAATACTCGACGCGCCTAATGCCGATTATACGACTAACCTCAAAATATTCCATTAGAAATATGCTTACGTAACTCTAGCGAAATATAATTTAATCGTGACAATAATTAACCTCATTACGAACATAAAATGGTAGTAGAAACATAAATAGCACACAACCTTAAGGGACTAAAAGTAAAAAGGCGCCAATAATATCTCGGTATTATGGTCTACATTTCCCGCCATCATGGTTTGACAGGTCATTGACGTCGGATGGAAATGTAAAGAAAACAACTGCTATAACATTGCTTTATGCACTGACCTCCGCGTTTTTTCTTATTCTTCGGTCCCGTCGATGCCGTGGCAGCTGAAGATTTAGACGCTGTACGTTTAACGCCCCGCGCTGCCGGCATTTTGCCTGCAATATTGCAAAGGACGCGTCAGTAAACACGAAGAGCGCGGCAAACGTTTGTTGGCTGATGCGTTCACACTGATGACGTTTTCCACTGGCTTTTTAATTGCATTAGCGTTTTGTTTCCATAATGCCAGCCTTTGCACCAATAACAAGGCTACGACCTCATAGATTTATGCAAAGCGCAGATAGGTTATATTATGCGTTTGTATAGCACTACACTCAGAACAAACAACGCATCCGTATCATACGGAAAAATGTTGTGATATAGCGGAATATTTTACTTACTGTTTAATTATTGAATAGAATAGTAATCCAAATTACTAACAATTAATTGATATCACTAAAGAATATAAGATGACGTATTATTTCAACAGAGCACAAATCCCGTGCATCTCCTCCGTTCGCTTCGCTTGGCCTACGTACCACAGATATGATATAATATAGACGCAAACGACAAGTGATGTCATCCACACCACAGATTATACACTATGTTTCTGGAAAGATTTTATTAAAGAAAATAAAATCCACAATAAAATGTATAATAAATAATTTATTTTTCGTATGATAATTTGAATTAAGTTTTTTTTGCAAAATAAATAATGCTTTTAATTATTGTAACATTTCCTTTTTACCCGACAGCGGAAAGGGACTGCGGAAAGGATATTTTTCGCGTCTATCTTTGTATGTTTATTTGTAATATTTTTTATTTCCTCATATCTCCTAAACCACTCAATGGATTTCTTTAATTAAGGAATCGTTAGATTCGTCTCATTAGTCCCAAGTGTTCTTAGATAGGTGACATAAAAAAATAAATAAATATGGGAGCTGCTAGATTCCATAATGTGAAAAAGAAAAAAGATGAAAATCGACGAACTATGTCAAGTGGGGTATCGATGAATAGGTATTTAAAAACATTTTTAGGTTTCTTTGGTTATTTTTCATTTTAAATAACAGTTTAGGATATATGTATAATGGTTTAAAGTTGGTCAACAACTATTCTCGTTAATTTTCCTACTTAAAAATACGTAAAAAGCTGTAAACAAATACATATATTTTTGGTCCCTACTTATGTTTTAACGTTTAGTATAGATTTATCAGAAATGAGATAATTTCCTGCAATAAAAAGTATCCTACTTTGACCAGGATAACCAGCTATCAATGATGATAGGGAGGATAGAGGGATTTGGATGAAATTAGGTATGAACCTAATTTCATCAAAATCCCTCCAGCGGTTTTCCGTGATGTGGTAACAGACACACAGATAGACAGACAAAAAATCTAACAACTATAGATTCGGCATCGGTATCGATAATAATGACTATTTCAATAATATTTTCCAAAAAATATTAAATGTACAGATTCGACCCAGTTAAAATTTTATTATACATATGTAAGTACCTATAGAAAATATTTTTGGTCTATTATTGAGCTAAAAGTTTATGTGACTCCCTGGCACTAACTATTCCTACGTAAAAAGCTACGTTAATTTGTTCCTGCATTGTTCTGTAAAAGAATAATTATCCAACAAATATGTGATTATTTTTTATTTATTTAATTTTTTTTATTATATTTTTAAAACACTAATCCTAATCGTATCCTAAAGATAATAATGTAATTAAATCTTGAAATAAAAGGGATTTGAAAATTTAATTTGTTCAGTAAATATTTCTTATCTACTAGAGATTGAGTTTTTGTAAAATCACCAATTTTTTGTGGCACATGAGTTAATAACAGCTTGATAAATATATTATGATTTTAATTAGTAAAATAGGTAAAATACGTATGATCAAAGTTAAGATTTATTGGTGAAAAGATGAAAAAATGTAAACGAATATTGAGTTTGCAACAACTGTTCACTGTCCAGTAACGGTCAGTAAAGTGCGACCGAGAGAAAAGAGAATTTACAATTTTTACCCGACTGCAGCGAAGCCTAAAGAACGGTTATGTATTTGGCTTGTAGGTTTTTTTGTTTCTTTCTGTGGTGCCTCATAGATAGCGAGCTTACTTATAGATGAATTATCTATACTAATTTATTATAAAGAGGTAAAGTTTGTGAATTGTGAGTTTGTGACGTGGTTAGGGGGTGGTAATCTCTGGATCTACTGAACCGATTTAGATGAAATTTGGTAAGAAGATAGTTTGAGACCCTGGGAAGGACATAGGATACCTTTATCTCGGAAATCATCCCTTGATGGGGTGAAAATGGGGATGAAAGTTTGTATGGGGAATCAATCTAGGGACGAACCAAGAGCGAAGCGAGGGTGAGTCGTTAGTGAATAATAATATAGGTATTTAGTTTACTGTACCTACTCCCAAAACTTTAAATGTAATAATAATAACATGGCATACAGTTAAATGAATGCAATCTTCGCAAGAATTTATATTGGTTGCATTTTTAAACTTAAAAAGCTACGCAAAACTTTTCTTCTTTTTTAAAGTTAGGTACAAGTAAAGTTTGAAAAATAATAATTAAATAATGTAAATTGGCGTGTTTTATGCTCAGTATATGTGAAGATAGAATTCCTATTATCTTTACATTTGTTCGATAGATTTATTCAACAGATTAAGTTTTTTGTTAGTACATACATAGAATATTTTTCTTTTTTTTTGTAAATGTGGTTAAATCAGAAACGAAAACGAGTACCCACCTAATGATAAGTGTAATGCAAAAACACGGCTGTGTGAAGCTGCTGGTAAAAACCAAATAACTTTTAAATAAACATCTAGTAAGTAGTTGATGAGTGAGCATATAACTGTTCTTTACTATTAACATAAAAAAATAAGTGTCAAATTTTCCATACCATTTCCATTCCAATCCATTTCCTCACGCTTTGCCTTGTACTTAAAATAAATAATATGGGCATAATTGAGCCATTGTCAATACGTAATAGGTATAGGTAGTTGTTATGTACATTTCAAGCCAATTTTCAACAATTTGCATTAATAGGATATTGATTTTGTATGCACATTTACATAGAGTTTTGTTATTTATATGGTAATACGGATGAATTTTTATTATTCATATTTTGGTGCCATCGTGTACCATGTGGGGTATGGGAAAACTAAAATTGCAAACAATTTTTGAATCAATTGTCCCATTATGACGCATGTCTGTCGGCCTATCTATACATATTTTATATTTACATATTTACATTATGTATCTATATTTACGTACATAAGGCAGTCGTAGCCCAGTGGTAACGCACTCGGTTTCAACCGAGTGAAGCAGGTACTTTAAATATTTTTATAATTTTAATTAGTTTTATAAATTGAATATATATCAAAAAGTTAAAATATTGTAAGTTACTTTTGTTGCCACTTTTCAATTTTTTGATTTCATTTTGTTATTTGTGGATAGGCTCTCTGTAACAACTATATATATATATATATATATATATATATATATATATATATATATATATATATATATATATATATATATATATATATATATATATATATATACTTTTGAGACATCTAACACCTTAGTCTCTACCGTAACCATGATTGCTGTAAAGCATTCGAAACGTCGGGAAACTCTAAATAAATTCGCGAAAAAATCCGAAAAGATAGTTTTATTTTATAATCTTTATTGTAAAATTAACCTTAAATCAAAAAACTCAAAGCACTTTTTCCCGTTGTTGCTTTGTCAGCTAAATCGTTATGTTTTGTTTCTGAATGCTTCTTAGAATTTGCGCCTGTATTGGTCGACCTGAGTCAACGTTCTTAGCGGATTTAAAATTGTTCAAAATTTCTTTTTTATATTATTTCGTAGGTTAAATCTTAAAATATTGACTTAATCTACATGTATTTATCGAAAATAAGACACTCCGCCTGAAAAATTTCTTCCTTGTGCATTATTTTTGTAACTTTTAAATAAATATTGCGGCATTGTGAACGTGTTACGTTGGTAGTGTTTCAATAGAACTAATCGAAATATACGCTCACTTTGCAAGTGAGCTTATATTTACCGAGACGGATTTCTTACGCCGACGCGATATCTAGTAGTATTGTTGATCGAAGTTCCAAGGAATCACTTTTTAGGCAGTGGTAGCCTAGTGGTAACGCGCTCGCTTGGGAAAACGAGTGAAGCGGGGGTTTAAATCCCGGGTCATGCACTTCTGATATTTTCATGTGCGAATCATTTCCAACATGATTACCGCTTGTCTTACGGTGAAGGAAAACATCGCGAGGAAACCTGCATGTCTGAGAGAACCTCACAAGTTTTCTAAAGACATGTGAAGTTCGCCAACTCGCACTTGGCCAGCGGTGGACTATGGCCTGATCCCCCTCGTATTAAAGCGAGGCCTGTGCTTAGCAGTGGAACGTAAAAAGGGCTAAATACAATTAATTTTTATTAACCTCTAGCGCCATATGCGTTTCGAAATTATACCTATTAGCAAAAACTTTTTCTTTCGCAGGTGATATGTAGATAGATAAGAACATACCTACAACATTCTAAAATAAATTTAAAATATAATTTATTCTTTTTTCCTGCTACAAAAATGTTTGCTATTTATAAATATAACTTATTAAATTTAAACAGTCGAATTATTTACACAAACAGATAACTTAGTATAAAATGAAGTTCAAGATTTGACTTCCACCACCTTCTAGCTTGATTTCTTACTACAAAAGTCCTGTTGTCACCAATACATATAATAATCAATTTAAAAGGTTATTATTATAAAGTACAATAAAATAAATTAATGAACTCATTAGCGTATTTTCGTGTGGGTGTTACTGGGCGGGACCTAATAAGCCCCGCCCACCTCGAAAGCCTTTATAGTGTTGTCTTCTTTTCTCTTAAAGAATATTCATTTATGGATGAAGCTTTTACGAATATCTGCGTAGTGATTGAATGTTATTTGAATGTAATATTTTAATTTTATTTAATTGAAATACATGAAAAAATTATTGATATAAGTAGTTCATGCGATGGGTTAATACCAAATTTTTATTAATATTTTAATATGATTAAATGTTTATTTACAGCAA